TGGTTGAGGCAATATGAGTGGGTACTCTTACTGCAAAGTGTATTCTACTTTGCTACATTTAGTCCTTTATTTTTTTCAACAAAATATTGTTGAGTGACTGCTTGCTATATACTAGGCGAAGGGGACACAGCTGTGGATAAGATACACAGTTGCTTGTTGTTAACAATGAGAAGATCGGGAATTCATTCCTGTAATTAAAGAAATTTGAGCATTACTGTGTAACTTGTGGTTTTACACTTAATAGGGAAGAAAGTTTAGTTGATGTCTAGCTGTTAATATACTTAAAATTCCACTAGGGCACTGTTCTAGTCTCAGAGAAGACTAGAACACTTCATCCTGAAGCAGAAGACTACGCAGAACTACTCTATTGATCTCTTGCACTTTTAAAGTCAACTGCTCTTTTCCTGGAATTAAAAAATAAAGAGAGCATGGGATGAAAACAAAAGAACTATCCTTAAAGATCAAGAAAGGTACTTCCAAGTCTTGTGAGCAGCAGGTTACATTTGTACTTAGTTCACCTTAGTTTAAGGTTTCAGTTTAAATCCACTGACATGGTGGTGATGGGCCAGATGTACTGTTCTGTGAAGAAGTTAGATGCTGCCCTTTAAGGCTTTTAGAGGTAATTCTGGGGAGACCAGCAGAAGCATGAAGATTCAGAACTAACTGACAATAAATATAATTCAGTAAAAGTGTATGTAAATATCAGGTATTAATACTATGTGCAAAGGAAAGAGTTGGATGACAGTGAAGGGGCAATTATAGGAATTCAGTTTGTGTGCGTGTGTGTGTGGCAGTCTCACTCTGTTGCCCAGCCTGGAGTGCAGTGGCACCATCTCGGCTGGCTGCAAACTCTACCTCCTGTGCTCCAGCGATTCTCCTGCCTCAGCCTCCGAAGTAGCTGAGATTACAGGCATGCCCCACCACACCTAGGTAATTTTTGTATTTTTAGTAGAGATGGGGTTTTATCATGTTGGTTAGGCTGGTCTTGAACTTCTGACCTCAAGTGATCCACCTGCCTCGGCCTCTCAAAGTGGTGGGATTACAGGCGTGAGCTACCACACCCAGCCTAAGAGTTCAATTTTTAAACAAGTCAAGTCCAGCCAGTCAACAGGTACTTGGTGGACATAATAGCATTTCAGGAGCATCTGTGGCTAACAAATGAAGGAATCTAGGCAACGTGGAGTAGAGTTTATGAGTATATTAGCATATCCTTTGATCTCTTTGGAAAAAATCTTACTTACCTTGTAGGCCTGTTTTAAAGGTTGGCTGACTTACTGCTCTCTTACTCTTCAGTTACTCTTCTCTATGTCAGTGCTACCAGAGTGCCAGTCTATAACAAAATAAAGAGTTTGTACCAGAGTATAAATCTTTATTGAAAAAGTCTTGATAAGAAAAAAGTGAATAAATGTCAGCTGAACTAAATAGCATGCTTAGTGACATAGTTGATTTGCACTCTGGTGTATGTTGATTGGCCGGTTGCCAGTCCCTGAAACACAGTACCCTAAAGCATTATTTACTGTCTCCTTTGGAAATTCATAGCTTATTTATACAACCATAGTACATTTGTCACATTCCATTACAGTTGGCCCTAGTCTTATGGATTTTTGATTCCACTGTGCTTTGCACGGTGCCTAGAATTTAGTATGTGAGAAATACATATTTGTTGGCTGAAATACTGTTAAGTGGTATAGTGTGGGAAGACTTAACCTTCACAGTGATAAGGCAGCCTTAGCCAATTGCAAGGTCAAACTTAGAAGCTGAAGGAGTTTGAACCATGCGGTGGTTTGAGTGTGTGCCCCAAAAGTTCATTTGTTGGGAACTTGAGTCCCAGTGTGGCAGTGTTGAGAGTGGGACCTTTGGGAGGTGATTGGGTCATGAGGGCAGAACCCTCATCAATGGATTAATCCATTCATGGATTGGTGGACTAATGGATTGAAGGATTAGTGAATTATGGAGGGAGTGGGCTTGTTATCATCAGAGTAGGTCAGTTATAAAGGTCAGTTTGCCTGTCTCCTGTGAGCCAGCCCCCTTGCCCTGTGATGCCCTCCGCTGCCTTGGGACTCTACAGAGAGTCCCCACCAGCAAAAAGGCCCTTATCAGATACAACCCCTCAGTCTTGGATTTCCCAGCCACCAAAATTGTAAGAAATAAATTTCTTTTCTTTATAAATCATCCAATCTCATGTATTCAGTTATAGTTCATGTATATAATTATGTCATATACATAGTTATAGTGTATTTATAAGTCATGTTTGAACTATACCTTTGTTGTTATTAGAGAAATTGGGCAGAAATGTGTTGATATGATTAATATGCTTGTAAATTATAGTGTAACTAAAAGCACCTAAACTGCTATGGTCTTGAACATTAAATTCTCACTACATAGGGTAGACCATCACCGAGACAAATAAAATTGATCTATATTTTAAAGTATTCAGGGCTTTTCCCTATGCAAGTGGGAACTATGCCCCCTTGTAGTTTTGTGCAACAAGTGATTAAAGGAAAAACTTTCCACTGGCTAGAGAAACTTGAGGAGTATTAATATTTGAAGATGAAAACTAGCTTAGGCAGCATGTATTTATATAAAGTTCCTGGTAGAAGAGTAGTTTGATTTTCTAATGTTAGCAAGAAAACTCAGCAACCTTTCAAAATATGTTAAGAGACATGCTTATTTTTGAATAACCTCTTGACAATAGTTTGAAAATTAGAGGTAAACATTCAATATTTGAAAGAACAAAGATTTTGCTGTA